TCACACACTGGTGGAGGCAGCTACAGTTGTAGCCACAGCTGCCCTGGGGCAGACTGACAGAAGCGAGGCTGCCATATCGCGCCATCGGTCCCTCTGGCCAACACCAGGCAAGTAGGGGTAAAACAAGGGAGAGCATGGTGCTGCTGCCAGAGAGCAGCAGGTGTTAGCACGGCCCCTCCCTTGTTTTACCCCTCAATGTCTACATGGATTTAAAATTGAGAAGTGGGCACCGGCGCCAGAGGTAGATTTGAGTACAGACCGTCCAGTGGACGCCGTTAACGTGCCCACCCTCAAGGCCCTGTATATATGTGTGTGTTATGAGAGTGTAAGAAATGTGGATGTCTAAGTTGTGAGATAAAATTGAGGCACAGGTGGCCAGAAGGGGGCAGAGGGGGGAGATGTCTCCCCTGCACCCTGGTGACACACCGCACCCCAAGGCCCTACCTGTGTGGGTGGGTGTGGTGGAGCGGGAAGAGGGAGGTAGCTGGGGATGGGGAGGAAAAGAAGGGAGGGTTTTTATCGTTAACTCGGTTTTCCTGGGTCTTTTCACATGTGTTATGAATAAATCTTATTTTTTTCGGTACCGGTACTAGTTTTATTTTGTTGTATTTATCCGCGACACCTTAAAGGCCGGTCCGTGAAAATATTGTCGGGCATAAACCGGTTTGTGGCGCAAAAAAGGTTGGGGACCGCTGCCCTACATGCTTGTACCTTGGAAAATGTTTGTCTTTGTGAGTATTAATGTGTTCAGAAACAACTTTTAAGTGTTTACATGAAGTGAACTGTGATGCTAATGCAACGCATGTGTTAAGCTAGGCTAATCATTAAGTTTGTAAATTAAGATGTGTATTAGCTAGCAATTTATTTTTACTTTCTGTATATTTCAGTTACCAAAAAGAGATGGCAAGGAGAAGCCTCGAGAGAGGAAAAGGCTTAAAAAGATCTTCATTAAAATCACGAAAAGCAAGCCTTGTGTAGAGATCTCATCTATTTTGTTCACTGGCTGTCTATCTTCACATGGTCACGTGTCATGAAGGCAGGTACAGGTTTATTAAAATAAGATAGCATTAACACTTTGAGAGGATTCACAGTTAACAGTAAATATAAATGCTAAAACTAAATACTGTATATATTGCACAGTGTTACCCCCC